CAGCTGCGCACGGAGGCCCGGGGAGGGCGCATGAATGTCGGCAGGGCCCCCGGGTCCAGGTACGCACAGAGGCCCAGGGGGACCGTATAAATGCCCACAGTGCCCCCTGGGCCAGATGCTCAAGGAGACCTGGGGAGGCCGCACGAAAACACGCAGCGCCTCCATAGTCAGGTATGTACAGATCCCTGGGGAGGCCGCACGAAAGCCTGCAGGGACCCCAGGACAAGTGCACATTAAGGCCTGGGGGGGTGCTGCACGAATGCCCACAGAGACCCCGAGGGCCAGGTGCACATGGAGGCATGGAGGGGCAGCACAAAAGCCCACTGGCCCCCCAGGGCCAGGTGTGCATGGAGGCCCCAGGAGGCCACATGAAACCCCGCAGGGCCCCAGGGGCTCAGAGTGCTCGGAGGCCCAAGGGGTCTCCACAAAAGCCCGCAGGGCTCCCAAGCCCATGTGCACAYGGAGGCCCGGGGGGACAGAATGAAAACCCGCAGTGCCCTTCAGGGCCAGCAGCACATGGAGGCATGGGGGGCGCTGCATGAATGCCCACAGGGACCCCGTGGCCAGGTACCCACAAAGGCCAGGAGAGTCCACACAAAACCCCGCAGGGGTCTGGGGGCCAGGCATGCACGGAGGCCCAGGGGGACTGCACAAAAGCCCACTGGGACTCCCAAGGCAAGGTGCGCACAGAGGCCCGGAGAGGCCGCACAAAATCCTGCAGGAACACAAAGGCTAGGTGCGCACAGAGGCCCTGGGAGGACACAGGAATGCCCGCAGGGACCCCGGGGCCAGGTGTGCATGGAAATCTGGGGGATTTCCACGAAAGCCTGCAGGAACCCCCATGGCCAGGTGTACACGGAGGCCCAGAGTGGGGGCTGCACGAATGCCCAGAGGGATCCCAGGGTTAGGTGCGCATGGAGGTCCAGAGGGGCAGAATGAATGCGCGCAAGGCCCCCATGGATAGGTGCGCATGGAGGCCAGGGGGGCGGKACGAAAGCCGACAGCTCCCCCGGGACCAGGTGCGCACAGAGGCCCAGCGGGGCTGCACGAATGCCTGTAGGGACCCTGGGGCCAGGTGTGCATGGAGGCCCAGGAGGGCTGTACGAATGCCCACAGGGCCCTCGTGGCCCAGTGCGTACGGAGGCCCTGGGGGACTGTACAAATGCCCGCAGGGACCACAGGGCCAGGGGTGCAAGTCCGCAGGGACCCTGGGGTCACATGCGCACGGAAGACTGGGGGGGCAGCACAAATACACGCAGGTACCATGGGACCAGGTGCACATGGAGGCCCAGAGAGGCCACACAAAAGCCCGCAGGCCTCCCAGGGTCAGGTACACATGGAGGCCCAGGGGAGGCTGCATGAAAGCCCACAGGGCCACAGGGGCCAGATACGCACRGAGGCCCAGGAGGCCCGTACGAATGCCCGCAGGGCCTCCGGGACCAGGTGCGCATGGAGGCCCAGGGACGCCACACATAAGTCTGCAGGACCTCCGGGCCCAGCTGCGCACGGAGGCCCAGGGGGCCGCACGAACGCCCGCAGGGTCACAGAGACTATGTGGGCATGGAGTCCTGGGGAGGCCACASAAAAGCCCGCAGGGCCTCCYGGGCCAGGTGCGCACGGAGGCAGGAGGGGACCACATGAAAGCCCGCAGGACCCCCGGGGATAGGTGCGTATGGAGGCCCAGGGAGGCCRCATGAATGCCCGCRGGGTCTCTGGAGCCAGGTGTGTGTGGAGGGCCAGGGAGGCCACACAAACTCTGCAAAGGGCTTTCGTGCGGCCTCCCTGGCCCTCCATGAGCACGTGGCACCTGGGGCCCTGCGAGTTTTCMTGTGGCCTCTCCATGCTTCCATGGGCAGTGGGCACAGGTGGCTCTGCATGCTTCTATGCTTCCTCTGTGCGCACTGGGGCCTGTGTACCTTACAGGCTTTCATGAAGCTTCCCTGGGTCTCCATGCACACTGGGCCGGAGAGGCTATATGGGCTTTCATGCAACCACTCTAGTTTTCCATGCGTGCTGTGCCCTAAGGCCCCGACGGACTTTCGTGTGGCCTCCCTAGGGTTTTGTGCACACGTGGCCCCTGAGGTCCTACAAGCTTTCGTGTGGCCTCCTYGGGCCACCATGCGCATCTGGACCCGGAGGCTCTGCGAGCCTTCGTGCGGCCCCACCGGGACTCCGTGTGCCCTGGGCTGGAGGGACCCTACAGGCTTGCTTGCAGCCTCCCCGGGACCCTCCTCTAGCTTCTAGGTCACAGAATCGCAGAATCACAGAAGGGKTGAGGTTGGAAGGGACCTCTCGAGATCATACAGTCCAACCCYCTGCTCCAGCAGGGACACCCGGAGCATGGGGCACAGGGTGGCATCCAGGCGGGTTTGGAAGATCTCCAGAGAAGGAGACTCCACAACCTCCCTGGGCAGCCTGTGCCAGGGCTCTGTCACCCTCACAGTGAAGAAGTTCTTCAAGAGTTTTCATACAAGAGTCTCCTCTCCTGGATGCCCCCCAATCTCATGGTGGGCTGCACTGACACCTGAGCACCATCACAGTCACTTCATGCGCACTGTGAGCCCGTTGCTCCCACAGCCCCCATGTGTGGGCAGCTCCCACGGCTGCAGCACTTATCGCACCTGCCATCAGCCAATATTTGTGGTGGCAGGGGCACAGCCAGCCCTGCAGCACTGATCCTGCACCGCCCACCCGCCCGCCCACCCACAAACAGCTTCTCTGGCCATGCTCCCCTGTGCTGTCCCGCTGTGACTTGGGCTGAGCAGTCACAGATGGCGCCCACTGCAGCTCTCCTGCTCTTGGGCCTCCTGAGCATGGTGGTTTCCAGTGGCACCAGCTGCCCAGCCTGCAACCTGGCAGCCCTGGCACCCGGCGCACGGCGGGACGCGCTCCTGGCGCTTGCAAAGCAGAACATCCTCTCCGAGCTCCGCATGCAGGAGCGGCCCAGCGTGTCACGACCCCTGTCCCGGGGGGCCCTGCTGGCAGCACTGAGCAGGGTCGGCACCCGCAGCCCACTATCTGCTGCCCCTCCGGCGCTGCCCCCCAGTGCCCAGCGCTACCAGGTGCTCAGCTTCGCCGAGTCAGGTCTGTGCATGACGCAACGGGACCGCGTGGACCCCAGCCACAGGGTCTTGGCAATGGGGGTGTCAGGAGAGCATCCCAACCAGCTGCTCCCTGCCCCTCGCTTCTTTTCAGGGGAGAGGGGCCCATGGTCACTGGGGCCGGTGTGGGAGCCCTGCTGAGCTGTTCTCTTGGGCGAGTGCATTTTCCCTGTGCTCTGTCTGCTCCTGCTGTGTTGATTTGGAGATGGTTTTAAGCCCAGATGCAGCTTTCAGGCTGTGAAGCTGTGTCTCTAAAGCCCACTCGCCCTTTGAAACAGGGCCCTGTCCCCGCTTCCTACCCAAAATGGTGAGCAGCTACTTTACACCCCCAAAACCAGCTGTGTTCCTGGGAGGAGAGGGCTTCCCAAAATGCGCTAAAGGGACCTGGCAAGTGTCACTGGAAAAACAGGGTCCTGTTTCTACCACTTCTGCCAGGCAAATGCAGCTTTCCCAGCCACTCTGTCCCAGGGCACATGGAAATCCAGGGGGGTCCTGGTGGTGTAAATCAGCATGATTGCGTTAAATTCAGGGCTGGTTTATGCAGCCAGATAACCAGCCCCCAAACCTTCCAGTAGCTTTCCTGAACACGTTGGTATTTGGTCAGAGAAGGTRACCCAGAGCTAAGCCTGGAACTGAGTGGTGGCTGCTTTATGGTAGAGTGAGGAAAAGCAGCAGTGGTGCAGGGAAACAGGGGGCAGAGACCTCCTCCAGCCCCCTGTCTCCTACTCCCTGGTTTGGACATGTCTCCTGTTTGCTCTGATCCCTGAACCCCTAGCCAGGAGAGTCCTCCCTGCTCAGCTCCTGACACTGTTCCCTGCTGTTTGCAGGATCCTCCACTCTGGGCAGAATTCGCCTGAATTTCCGCTTCACCCAAGAGCTGGGCAGAAGCGTTGAGATCCTGCAAGCCAGTTTGTACCTCTTCTGGGCATCCCCCGGCCCCGGCACACACCAGGTCACTGTAAAACTATTGGAGCCTGACCTGTCTGGGCCAAACATCACCATGGTCAGCAAGACATGGCTTGAGGTGCAGAGGGCTGGCTGGGCCTCGCTGGATGTGGGACAGGCCGTCCAGAGTCTCTTCAGCAAAGGGAGGCAGAGACTCACTGTAGAGCTGGAGACAGCAGAGGACTCAGGGTTTCCTCTCCTGGCTGGTCAGAGTGATTCCCACTGGCCATTTGTGGCAGCCCAGGCCCAGGAGAGGGCAGGTCATCGGGTCCAGCGGCGTGGCATCGACTGCACTGGAGACTCATGGATGTGCTGCCGCAAGGAATTCTTTGTGGACTTCAAGGAGATTGGCTGGGAGGACTGGATCATCCAGCCAGAAGGATATCACATGAACTATTGTGCTGGGCTCTGCCCTCTGCATATGGCTGGTATCCCTGGGCTTGCTGCTTCCTTCCACACAGCTGTCCTCAACCTSATCAAAGCCAGCAATGCTGATGCTGCTGTGGACTCCTGCTGTGTGCCTACACAACGCCGCCCCCTCTCCCTGCTCTACTATGACAGGGACAGCAACATTGTCAAGACCGACATCCCTGACATGATTGTCGATGCCTGTGGCTGTACGTAACCTCCTGCCAGAGGCAGAAGAGCAAGACCATTGCTGAGCGGGGCTTCCTCCTTTCTCAGCTCCGCTCCAGCARTGGGAGACCTAGAGAGTTGCTGAAGGATGGGGACCCTGCATTGGTGTTTTTAACTCTGAAGCTTGAAGCATCAGGGTGGTGATGAACCTGTAAGCCCTCTCCTCTTTGACCTCCTACACAGCTCCTTTCTCTCTTCATATCCTCCCAGGGATTCCTCTCTGCTCCAAACAGGAGCCCGAGAGCTGCTCCTGTTTGAAATCAACCCCTTCTGCCTGCAGGACTCTGCAAAAAAAAACCCACATAGTTAGCTGGTTTAGAGCAACCTCTGCCCTCTCCAGTGCTGGTCYCATGGCCAAGGCCATAGTGCAGCCCTTGGTGCTGCAATGGGAACATGTCCTTCTCAGGGAACGTGTCCCAGCCCTGGCCAGTGGGGCTGGGCTGCTGGGGAAGACACGAACCTGAGAACAAGTCGGAGCTGCCAAGGTCAGAGCAGAGAGCTCCAGCTCCAGGGTCCCACTCCAACTAGACTTGAGACTGAAGAGACTGAAGAAGGGGAAACTGCTCACCATGGTGGGGGCAGTGCCTCCCTCTCCAAGCATCCCAGCTCTCTGCTATTCAATAAAAGAGCCCAGGCTCAGTGTGTGCAGATGTGCATGCACCTGTGTGTGCCCTGTTACTAGCCAGCACATTCTCTCCCCATCCCCAAAGGGCAAGGTGCCGGACAGACCCCAGTACAGGCAGTCTGGAGACAGCTGCCCTTTCCCTCTCCCCTTGCTCAGCCTCATCAGGGGACCTTTTGGGGGACTGTCCCTGGGACTTGCACAAGCAGCTGGGGACACGGATGCTGTGGGAAGATATGCAGGAGCCTGATCAGAGACAGGGCGATTTGAAGGGATTTGGAGGTTTATCTCTGTGTCCAGCTCTGCCATGCTCAGTCCTCTTCTAGCCAAAAGCTTGATATAAAACCCAGTCAGACGGGCTGGGCACCCATCAATGGCTGCAGACTAGCCAGCCTCACACTGCTGCCGTCCTGCCACTTCACTGCCTTCTCTGGAGAGGCAGTCAGGACCCATGAAAGAGACCACTGCCATGGGAGTGTGGTGATTCTCTGAAGAAGTTACCAGTCCTTGGCTAGGCTCAATTTCCCATTCCACCAAAACCATTGGCCATTTTCATCCCAATTCAGGACAAAACAAAGCAACTCCTTCCCCTTCAACAGTGGACAGTGGCTCCCAGGCAAGTCCAGCAAAGCTGCAGTGCCTGCAGCACCTGCCTTTGCCTGCAACCCCACAGCAGCTCCCTTGCTGGGCAACTGCCAGCACATCCCTGTCCTGCGGCCAGGACAGGAGCCACTGCCCTGTCCCTGCTCCTTCCAAACTGGCCAAGCAGGACGTGTCCGTGCCGTGAGAGCTGAGGACAAAGGGCAGTGCAGACACATCAGCTCCGTTATGTAATCCTGCATCAGGGTTTCTCCATTGCTTCATGCGGGTCTCTCATGTGAGGACCGAGAGAACAGTAAGTGGTGCTGGCCRTGGGAGAGGGCAGCTGATGCCAGGGGCCCCTGGGGATGACTGGAGCTGCCAGCAGCTCCAGGGGGAGCAGAAACAGGAGGGTGTTGCCCCAAGGAAGCTGAAACCCCTTGGGGAGGGTGAAGCCACCACAAGAGCAGATGGTGTCYGACTGTGCTGTGGGGGGGGGCTGTGCTTCCACAGAGCCCTGCCAGGGTGGGGGGCTGCAGAGTGGCACCTCCCTGCCCTGCTGCCTGCAGGAGTCAGCCCAAAACAGCTCCCACCGACCCAGGAGCTGCACACACAGGGTGGAAGTCTTGGGGATCGATACTGTCTGGGACCCAAGGCCACTTGCGCAAGCCCAAAGAGAGTTTGGTGTTTATTTTTTTGTTTATTTTTCCCCCTTCTTTTCCAATGCCTCTTTTTCACTGTCTGTGTTTATTCAACAAACAGTTCTCCWGGGGCTAGTGTGCAGTTTTCGAGGTTGCAGCAGGCAGGGGTAGAAAGGGGCCAGGAGAGGGGCAGCAGAAGCTCCTGGCACACGATGAAGGTCCCTGTTTGAAAGCCTGTCCTCAGCACCCACAGTCGAGCTTCACTCTGTGTTTTGCCGGTTCACAGAGGCTCTCAGCACAACCTGGTACACGAGTGGCTGCTGCAGCAGCTTCTGGTACAGCTCCTGGTGCAGCTCCTGGTGCAGACTGACCCCCCACACCTGGGAGTTTTCCCCATGGCTATCTCCCCTTGCCCAGGCTGCTATGCAGCTGTCCCCACGTGCCACCAGGCAGACATAGCCGGGGGACATGAGGATTTGGCCAGCTCAGTGCACTCAGAAAGCAGGGGCCAAGCCGCTCAGCCCCTTCCCTTTTACGAGCAGGTTGGGACGGGGCAAGGCACATTGTCCTGGGAATTTACCCAGCGTTGGAAAACACATTTCCTCAAGTGCCTTCAAGCAATGGGTATCCCAGAGCAGCACGGTCCAGGGCTCCGCACAACAAACTCTCTGTGTACACAACRTCTGCATCAGGAAACAGGACATGGGGATCTAGCCCACAGCCCCCTTCCCACACAGAGAAAGGGCAAAGGACCACCACAGCAGGGGATCAAGCAGTAGCAGCCTGGCCTGGAGAGCCCCAGAGGTAAGGAAGGGAGTGCTTAGGAGCAAGGGGCCCGGCAAACGAGGCACATCTGCCTGCAGTCCTCTACCTGTCAACAGGACTTCCTGCTCCACYGAAGCTGTCCTAGTTCAAGTTCTGGTGCAAGCTGTCCTGGTGAGCAAAGAGCACCAAGCTAGGTGCTCCGGTGAGAATCACAGAATCACAGAATGGTTGAGATTGGAAGGGACCTCTCGAGATCATCTAGTCCAACCCCCCTGCTCCAACAGGGACACCCAGAGCACGGGGTACAGGGTGGCATCCAGGCGGGTTTGGAAGATCTCCAGAGAAGGAGACTCCACAGCCTCCCTGGGCAGCCTGTGCCAGGGCTCTGTCACCCTCACAGTAAAGAAGTTCTTCCTCAGATGGAGATTAAACTTCCTGTGTTTTAATTTATTTCCTTTACCCCTTGTCCTGCCACTGGCCACCACTGAGAAGAGTTTGGCCCAGCCCTCTTTACATTCTCCCCTCAGGTATTTGTACATATTGATCAGATCCCCTCTCAATCTTCTCTTCTCCAAGATAAATAGGCCCAAGAAGGCAAGAAATCCTGACAGCAGCAGTGTGCCATGAGCTAATGCAGTGGCCCAGTAGGCACCATCCCTCCATGGTCCTTACAGGGTCCCTTCTCCCTGTACCATGACACCAGACTTCTCCCAGGGCCCCTTGCTCACACTTCAGAGGGGGTCATCTCAGGCCACAGGACATCATCTCGCTGCTCCACAGGGGCATAAGTCTGATGGGGAGAGACCAGGTTTCCCCACCCCATTCCCGGGCAACGGGGTGGGAACGGCCACCCCATTGCCCAAGCCTGGGGCAGGAGGCTCCAGGCAGACAGGGTTGATCAGTTAGTGCTCTGTGCCTTGGGCTGCATCAGGTACAGAAGGGAACAGGGAGTGTTGAGGGTGCTGTTCCCTCTGCCTGTAATCCAAGAGGGGATGAGGACGTGCGGCTGCTGTCGGCAGCTCCTGGAAGGAGCCTCTGCCAGTATCAACAGACCCTGAAGCAAAGGTCCAAGCGTGCGCTGTGCCAGGTGTCTCTTGGCAAGGCCAGGCGCACGAGGGAGGGGTGGGAATTCCTGAAAGCCTCTGATATTGCCTTGAAAAGGGCTAATTTTGAGTTTCTGTCTCCCAGGCAGTTTCCCACCTGCAGCCTCCGGCTCTGGGATCCCCGGACCGTGCCCAGGCCGGGGCTCGGCTGGAGGGGGCACGAGGGCTCCTGGCGCCGCCAGGCGGCACCAGTGGGCTGCAAGAGCTGCCCTGGGCGCTGGTGCCTGCGGGGAGAAGGGCTTTGCCTACGGGCAGGCAAAGCCCCACACCCTGGCCGAGGCTGGTGCTGCTGCTCCCTGGAGCAGTGCCCAGCTGCTAGGCAGAGCCACCCAGGCGCAGGCCCTGCAGCCAGTGCCACGTGCAGATGCTGAGGAATGATCTTTTGGGGGTCCTTGCTTAGTCCAGGCCTTTAGCGCTGCTGGATTGGGTCATCAGGTGCCACCGCTGCCCCACCGGACACAAGGTCGGAGGCCCAAAAGCCATGTGTGCAGTGAGTGCTGGGCCTCAGGGGGACCTAGGGGGTATTTTGGTCAGCATGGTCCCTGGGCTTTGCTTTCTGGGAACTGCTTAATCAACAACATGGTTACACAATGGGTGCAAGAACCACTCACAGCTCTGCACTGACCCCTGGCCTAGATCCGGTGGCCAGTCACGGGGGGCAGGTGGATCGGATGCTCTCGCTTGGCTGGAGGTGAATTGGGGGCTCGCAGGGGGACTGAGTGATGCTGGCCAGTTCTCGGTGGTCCTGGCAGATCCCAGGTGTTTAATCTCTTTTGGGAGATGTTGCTGATCAGCCTGGAAAGGAGAGAGGAGCAAAACATCATTCTCCCTCTTTGCCCCATTCTCCCTCTTTGCCTTCACCCCAAACTCTGTCATGCTGTGCCCGTCCCTGGCTCTTCAGAGCTAGCAGGGAAGGAGGAATTCAGCAAGCTGGTGTGCCTCAGTTTCTCTTTCCTATGCGCGTGGTACAGCATGGTTGCTGAGAGGAGGAACTGACACAGAGCCTCACAAAGGTCTCTGGTTCCTTGCTGCCTGTCACCAGTGCTGGTCCATGTGCCAGCTCAGGATCCCCCCAGCCTCCCGCACTTGGAAAGAGTGTCAGACACAGGGATCCGGCCCTGTGCACAGGGTAAAGGCAGGAGCGCTCCTACTTTGTGGGAAATTTAAGCTGCCCAGAGCAGGTGTATAACACTAAGCATCTGCAGAAGTGTATGCACACTGCAGAGAATACATGCACACACATTTGTGGCCCTACACATGCTCCCTGTCATGGGCTGGTGGTTCTTGCTGACATGCATGTGTTTTGCATGTGAGCATGAGTGAAAACATCCCTGTGCATGCAGATGCATGAGCAAGCACACTGCCACTGCCCCTGTGCCGTAGTGCCCGAGGAAACACTGCACGCCCAGCCCTGCTGCAGCACAGGCTGCGCTGGCTACGTGCTGCCTGCAGCCAGTGCTCACAGGCCCCGTGGGAGCTGTGCCCCAGGCCAGGCTGTGCCCGCTCTTTCCTCCCTGTTGACATTCCTGGGCTATTCTGGGAGCTGCCAGCAGGCCCAGCCAGCTGAGGACTTTGCCCCTTGCACTATGGTTGCATCATCTCCAGCAGGTACTTTTTCCCAGACAGMCCACTCTGTTTACCTGTCACCTCTGCTTGACCAGAAGCAGGGGCTCTGTGTGGTCGAGACCTTGAATTCAGTGCCACATGGCACAACGGGCAGGAGACATGGGCCAGCTGGCTGGCAGGCTCCCGCTACACCCTGTGATCCTTGAGCTGGCACAAGAGCACTGGGCCCTCTCACTGCCTCTCCAACCACCTTTGGGAGTTTTCTACAGCACCCTGCCCAGTGTTCAGGCTGTGCCTTGCTGCAAGCGCTCTGTATCTGCGACTCAGACTATGAGGAACTTTCTCAGGGTGCTGTGACATTGCCGTCAGTGAGCCCTCTGCATACGCAAAGATGTATCCTAATCTGGGGTAGAAGTATGTGGCCCTTTCCTGGCCTTGCCCTGCTCTGTCCTGACCTCAGGCTGGATTAAGCATTGCCAAGGGTTAGGCTGAGATCCCCAAACTCATAACAGGCAAGAAGTGACAAAAGCCCAGAGATAAGGGCTTTTGGATACAGGTCCCAGGGATCTGCAGATGCGTTTTGGCAGCTGCTTCCACCAGCTCCTGCTGGGTCCCAATCTGTGGGAAATTGGATTGTCCCCAGGGCAGGCAGGGGGGGCAACAGTGGTTGGGAAGCAGCTCACAGGCTGGGGAGGCAGTGAGGGACCCAGAGCAGGGCAGGCCAGGAGGTTCATGGCAAAGAGGGAAGCCAGGATTCTCCCCCAGGCTGCTCCAGGACCCGGCTTCCCCCACCCGGGTAGGATTTGCCCCAGGTCCCTATAGATTTGGGGCCCACAGAAGAGCTCGGGTCCCAGTGCACCCGGCCGGACTGGGGAACGTGATGAGAGCATCCGGCCGGACCTTTGTGCCCCCCACACGGGGCAGCGGGACCTGCAGACTGGGCAGAGCCGGCACCTCGGGGCTCTGCGTAGTCCCTCGTGGGGACCCCGTCGTCCCGCGCGGCGCCGCGCGCCCTGCTGCTCCCCCGACAAGGCAGAGCACCACCCACCCCTGCCGCGGGGGGGCTAATCCCGGTAATCCCCCGCCCCGGCTGCAACTCGACGGGACGGGACGGGCAGGTGAGCCGGCCAATGGCGGGGGGGCGCCGGGCCCGCCCCCGGCCGCAGGTGCCCAAAGCGGGCGGGAGGCGCCGCGCCACTCCTGGCCCGTCTCGTCCCGCTCCTGCCCGTCGGTGCCGATGGCAGCGCGAGGCGCGGGCCCGTGGCTGCTGCTGGCGGTGCTGCTGCTGCGCGCGGCGGCGGAGCCGGAGCCGCGCTGCCCGTCGTGCTCGGAGCGGCGGCTGCTGGAGGAAGCGGCCAAGCGGCAGCTGCTGGACAAGCTGCGGCTCCGCGAGCGGCCGCGGCTCGCGCACGCCGTGCCCCGGGCCGCCCTGGCCCGCGCCCTGCGTCGCCTGCAGGCGGCCGGTACCCGCCGCGGCCCCGAGCGCGACGAGCGGGGCTACGATATCATCAGCTTCGCGGAGCCAGGTGGGTGCGGGCAGCCCCGGGCGGTTGGGCCGGGCAGGGCGGTGCCGTGGAGTTTCCCTCGGCGGCACCGGCACCGTATCCCCCTCCATCGGCATACCTCACAGGGCGGGAGGTTGCAGGGAGCTGCTCAGCCTGGAATTAAACCACTGCATGGTGGGCTCGCTCTGCTGCGGTGACCTTCCTGTGCAGCTCATGAGTGGGCTCATGTGCAGGAGTGGGATTCCTCCCATTATACTGAACTGGTTGATCACACTGCTGTACTCCTGAGTGTTGCTACTCCTGGTTCATTCCTGAAGAATGGGTGAGCCCCAGGTGCTTAGGGCTCCTCATAGTGGCATGAGCGGACTGCCTGGATGGGTTCCCTGGGAGGCTGGAAGCAACTTGCAGCATCCTATGCGGAGCAGGGAATGGGCCAGGTGAGAGCAGCCCCCCTGCCCCTTTTGTTGCCCCTTCCCCCAGGTGGGGGGAAACAACAGCCCTGGGAAGGCAGATGGGAGAGTTGGTGGGGACTTGGTGGGTCTGTCCTGGGAAGCAGTAAGAGGAGATGTGTGCATGCTGCTGCCACCCCCTGCAGTGTTTGCCTTATCTTCCCTCTCCTTTCCTAGAGCCCATGTCACCCTCCCACACCAGGCTGCGCTTCCAGTTCAGCGGAATGCAAGACCAGGACATTCACCTCCTGGAGGCCCAGCTCTGGCTCTACCTTAGAGTTCCTCGAGACCTGGTAGCCAACCTCACCCTGAGTGTCTTTCTTGCTGGTGAGGAAGGTGACTTGGCCAGGGGCAATCGCACACTGTTGGGCGAGAGGCAACTGAGTGCCAAGGGCAGTGGCTGGTGGACCTTTTCCCTCATGCCTGGCCTCCAGAGCTTCTTTGACGGAGAGCACAGGACTCTGTGGTTGGACCTAGAAAACCTTGTGGACAGGGGCAATAACATGGCTGTGATAAATGCTAATCGGTCCCACCAGCCTTTCCTCGTGGCCAAGGCAAAGGTGCAGGAGCTGGATCACCATGTAGCCAAGCGCAGCCTCCGCTGCAGCCAGAACTCTAACCTCTGCTGCCGCAAGGACTATTACGTGGACTTCCGAGACATTGGCTGGAATGACTGGATCATTAAACCTGAGGGCTACCAGATAAACTACTGTGTGGGCCAGTGCCCTCTGCACGTGGCGGGCAGCCCTGGGATGGCCTCTTCCTTCCACACAGCTGTCTTCAACCTTGTCAAAGCTAATAACATCCAGGCATCAGGGCACTCCTGTTGCGTGCCCACACGGCGCCGGCCACTTTCGGTCCTCTACTTCGACCGCAACAGCAATATTGTCAAGACTGATATCCCTGACATGATCGTTGATACCTGTGGCTGTAGCTAGGGATAGGGGAGCCATGTTAATACCTCCTACCTCCCCCAGGAACAGCTTTCTGGGCACTTGGGGTCAGGGGAAGTTTCTCCCTTCAGTTGGATTGTGGTGTGACGGACCCACGTGGGAAGCTTGGGGGTGGGGGGGATGCTCATCTTGGGCATCGCCTCAGGTCTGGGAGCTGTGGGGACACATGGACCAGAGCAAGGCCACCTTGCACTGCCTGGGTCTGAGCTGTGTGCAATTAGTGGCTCTGGACATATCTGCCCTGATGCAGCGTTCCTGGTGTGTGGAGCTGATCCCACACCTCTGGGGGATGCAACCCCTCTGGGCATGGACTGGGAGGGGGGGGGGACCTGCCTTGCTCATGTTCATGGGGTCTGGTTGCAGTTTGAGACCCAGTTCCTTGGGAGCAGAGCAGGGTGGGGTGGAGAAATGAGTTGGTTTTCCTCCAAGCAGGAAAATGAGGCAGGAAAAAGCAGTCCTGCTTCTCTCCACCGCAATAAAACTTGCACCAAATGTGGGCTATAGTGTGGGATGGATGGAGCGAGGCACCAATACCAGATTTGAAAGGTGAGGGTGGAGACTGTCAGTGAACCCCCAAAATGCAGTGACTAGACCCAGTCCCTGATCCCAGAAGGACACAAGGCTGTGAAGGAAGGTGTTGCTTCCTAACCAGTCTCCCTCCTGTATCCCCTTTCATTCCCTGGGATGGGTGGACCTTTCCTGCACCCCTTTGGGTTCTTCCAGCCCAGTGCCTCCATATAGGAGGCTAGAGTCAGATTTTTGCCTTAGAGACTGTACTAAAGGTGCAGTTTTATTTGCAACTTTACAATTGCTACTATTTTATTGTGGAGGTTTCTGCAGCTGTTGGGACTCTTTCGTCATCTGTCTTGTCTGCTCATCTTTCTATTGAGGATCCCACTCTGCCTTTGCCTTCTTGGTACTGATGAATGCAGTGTGCCCACAGGGACTGTGCTTTTAACTTATTTTAATATTTTGGTACAGCTTCCCCAATAAATGAGTGGAAACACAACATCCAGGCTCTGACTGTTTTCTTCTGACACCACCTGCATGAAGAAGTGGGGAAATGGTCCTATGTGGCCAGAAGGTTCTGGAGTTAGAGCAGAAACAGGTCTGCAAGCTGTTGGTGCCTGTGGCAGTACCTCTGCTCTGTGGGTTGCATCTGCAAGGCTTGCTGGTGTTCCCAGCTGTGGTACCTCTCACAGCTCTGGATGAGCTGGGCTGTGCAAGGGGCTTTTGCCCATGTGAGCTCGGTATGGGTGAAAGGGCAGGGGTTTGCGCACCAGCTCAGGGCATGAGTTTTGAAGGAGATGGTTCCTGGCAGAGCCTGGCCCTGGGGGACTGTTGGCCACCCGGCTGAACCCCGAGAGGAACTCCAAGTGGCACAGTTCTGGGAACATTGACCCTAAGCGATAAGCCACGGCCAGCACCTGAATCCTGTGACCCCACTGCAAACACCAGCAAGCTCTGCTCTCGAGCACCCCCCACCTCCTGGCCCCGTCCCAGAGTCTGCTGCTGGTGGGATGGGGGTGCATTTGTGGGGAGGCACAAGGGTGATGCCATTTGCTCATCCCTCCAGGCCAGCCTGGGGCCTGATTGCACAAACACATGCTCAAAGCTCAGCTTAGGGCTGCTTTATCTGGGGACAGCCCCTCTAGCTCTCCCAGCTTGGCCCTGCTCGGCGTCCTGGTCAAAGGGCAGCTTTCCCCAGCTGACTGCAGCAGGCACCCCTGGCCGGGGGTGCAACCACAGCCCTGTGCCCAAAAATAGCTCTGCTAGCAGGGGGAAGCCGGCTGCACCTGCAGGATGCTCAAGCCTCCTGGGATCTCCTGCAGCCCCAATACATCGATGACATGCAGGGGGTGTCTCTGGTCCCCATGGGGTGTCTGCGTGCTGCTATATGTGTGCCAAGAGAGGCAGCACGCAGGTCATGCGATTGCATGGGAACTGTGCACAAAAAAAAAGTCACAGCATCTGAGCTCTGTCCCCGTACTGCACTGCTGTTCTAGCCAGCACGACTGGCGCAGTGAGCATTCCACAGAGATGCCAGATGCCTCCTCTTCTCCTTGGCCGGTGCTTTGCCCGTGGCAGTGGGCATGGGGAGGGGGCTGCCCACAGGCATGTTTCTAGCACACTGACTCACTGACACACTGACACACTAACCCACCAGCCTAGAGCAGTATGCTGGGCAGGCTGCAGGGACTACTTAATCCTTAATCTGCTGGATAATCTGGCCCTGCTTTGAGCTGCTTTAACTTTCTTAAACAGAAGGCCAAGATTAGCCTTGAGGGTGGGAGACTGCAGTGGGGCTGCTGAAGCCCCAGGGAGTTGGGAGGGCTGCCCGTGGGCTGCTTCCATTCACTCGAAGCTAAGGCAGGGCTGACCCAGCCTGGGTGGCTCTGGGTGTCCCCCAAGGGCTGTGGCGGGTGGCTCTGGGACACTCACAAGGCCCTGGAGGGGGGCAGGGTGACGCTGGCCCCATGCAGAGCCCAAGGCTGGCGTGGACCTTACCTGACAGTTTGGCCAGGGTCACACTTGGCTCAGGAGTAAATCTGTGCTGAGCTGATTATGTGTGTTACAAAACTTGCATGGAGGAAACGCTCTCACCTGCAGCCCTCACCTTGGGTCCAATGCTGTGGGATTGAACCCACTGCAGCACCTCAGAGACTCCCTAGAGGCCCAAACAGTGGTTCCCCTTTCACACAAAGGAAAGAGGAGGCCATGCAGGCGTCACTATCACCACACAAGTGCTGGGGGCTCGCTGGTGAACATGGACATCCCTGCTCGCACCTCACCCGCTCTCGCTCCTGTGACCGGCAGGAGAAGCGGGTGCTCCCAGGCCAGGACAGGTTGACATATGCAGACAGGTTGAGAGATGAGGTGACCTGAACTCATATAGCAAATCACACACAGTGCCCTGCTCTGGGGGGGGGGGTCCCCTCTGGGTAGCAGAGTGCATTTCCCAGGGCTTGGGCTGCACAGGAAAGCTGCTCTGGGCCAAGTGCTTGATGGCAGGAAGGGCACCCGAGGACAGGCTAATGCTGGGCAAGGCAGAGCGCCCGCAGCTCGGGTAATCCTACTAAGAGGCTCCAGGTCGGGCAGGGAGTGCAGCACCACTCACCTCCGTCTTTCACCTTCTCTGCAAGACCTTCAAGGCTTGCACTAGACCAGGCAGCAACACAGGGCTGGCCACAGCTAGGAACAGCAGCAAGGCAGGGAGAAAATGGGTTTACTTGCCTGGGCAAGTGCATGCAGTGTGTCCCTGAGCAGGCTCTTAGCTCCTCAATGTCCCCTGGGGAAAGCCCTTTGCCTTCTGCAAGAGCTGGGGCAGGGGCAGAAGTGAATTGGGTCCCGGAGGCAGGAGTGGGGCTTGGGGACAGTTCAGAACCAGTGTCTCCCCACCTGCACCCTGCTGGCATCAGTGCACGTTGTCACATTCTGTCCAGGAGTGGATGGGCAAAGGCCACTTTCCCTGAAATAGCTACTTGTACCTCAGGCCGGCCTGGCCCTTCCCCTGCATTTGGTCACTGTGGCAACCCCCCCATAGGATGGGGACTGACCTTCGGTGTGAAAAGCAAACAGTGAAACAGGGCAAAGAAGGGCTGCCCAGGTGAGAAATTCATTTCCCTCTTAACTTCCCCTCCTCCCCCCACCACAATTCCTGGAGTTCCCAGGCCCCCTTTCCAGCTTTCACTTAGGTCCTCACGTTGTTCCTGCCTCCCTCTGCTGTGCAGGCTCTGTCCTTGTTCTGCTTTCCCTCCCTGCACAACAGGACCTGGCTCGCTGCATGCGCAAGGCTGGTCTTGTGATGGGCAGAGGAACTGGCTGCCTCTGGAGAAGCCCTTTGGGGAAGGAGGTGGGTGGCTCGGCCATTTGCTCCCCGCTCTGCTGCAGCTGCCACTCTCTGGGTATTGTTAGTTCAGTGACAAAGACGTCACGCTGGACTTGACTTTGGTCTCCTGGTGGGAGCGTGCAGATGTGGTGATGGGTGGCACAGCCAGCAGCATGGGAGGGAAAATCACTACTGGGTCCTCAAGATACTCTCAGGTGCTCAGGGAGTGTTCTCAGCCCTTCCACCTCTGATGTCACGAGGACTTAGTCATGATGGATGCTGGACAGGACGCCAAAGCCCGGGAGCCAGGGCTGCATAGGGGTTGGTTGGCAGAGCTGACAGGGCAGTGCAGGCAGGTGGGAACATGGCCAGGCCAGATTTGGAGGGCAGAAAAATCTGTCAGAAACAGAGACATTGCAGCTGAGCAGGGAGATACCCCGGAGACCCTTAGGGGCAGCACCAGGGGGATTGCTGGGCACCTTGGGCACATATGCATGGTGATGGTGGTCTCCATTGCTGCAAGACTAGGATGGCAGGGAGTGGGGGTCCAGTGAGCCCCAGGAGACAGGCTGAGATAGACTTGGCCTCCCAGGTGGAGGGGAGCCCCTGGCACTGCTGTCCTGCTCCCTGAGCCCCCAAAGCTGCCCGCACAGGGAGGACAGAGGGGTTGCCTGGCCTGTGCCAGCCCCAGCCTGGGTAGGGCTTGGGGACCTGCCCCTTCACCAGGAGCTAAGCCCGAATCCCCAGTGCCCCATGGCCTTTCCCCAGATGAAGCAAGAGAAAGAGAGGGAGGCCCAGGAGTCACCCTGACCTGCGGGTCAGGGCACCCTCAGGGGGTCTGCTCTGAGGAGGCTGCACGCGGAGTGCGAGGGACCCGCGGCCGCCAGGGGGCGCGACCCGCCGAGCGCAGGGGCCCCGGCGTCCGGGCCGCGCCGTCGGAGACCGCGGGACGCCCGGCGGAACCGCGAGCGGCCCCCGCGAGCGCGCCCGGCGGGCGGAGTTTCCCGCCGGTCCCCGTCGTGCCTCCAAACCTCAGAGCAGCCCTGCCCGGGCGGGCAGGTCCCCATGCAGCGGTGTCCCCTGGGCGGTGTCGCCTCTGCCGCGGGACGAGGAGCCTGCGTCTCCCTGCTCCCTCCTCCGGGGGCCCCAAGCACCTCTTGGCCCTCCAGGATGCTGCAACAGGCGAAGCAGGGGAGTCCCAAGCTGGTGGCCGCTGTGCCCTGTCCCTCGGTCAGGGAGTCAACTCCTGCGGGTGGTCTCCTGTGGCCCCGCATGTGCGCTGTGCGCACGCCTGTTCTGCACGTGTGCATGCTCACAGTGATGCGCTGCGTGCACAACTGCGTGCGTGCACAACTATGCACATGCAGAAAGGCGTGTGTTTGTGCTTCACACACTGGCACACGTGCAGGGCTGCGTGCCTGCTCTCTGCACATGTGTGTGCCCTACGCATGCACGCGCACAAGTCCCACTTGCGCACATGTCAGTTCTTTGTGAGTGTGTGTGAGCACTACGTGTGTGTGCACAGCAATGCACAGGCTGCGTGTGCGCTCGCTCCTGTGCGTGTTCACGAGTGAACACGTGCGCACCTCTGTCTGGACACGCACCCACGCGTGTGGAGGGAGAGCGCGGCCCGCGCGTGTGCAGGGCCGTCGCGTGCGCGCGTGTGCGGGATCCAGCCCGGGTTTTCCGAGTGGCTGGAGCCAGTCGCGTTCCCGGTCGGGGTCTCCGTCCCGAGCGCGCTCGGCGCCGCCGCCGCCTCCCAAGTTGGCGGAGCGGGTCCCGCCGCCCGGCGGCTCCGCGAGTTTTGCCGGGACGCGCCGCCCCCGCGGGGCTCCGGCAACTTTCTCTGAGGGCCCGGGGCGGAGCGGGAGAGGGGCCGAGGCAGGACGGGCGCCGCCGGAGCAGTGCGGGGGGCGCCGCGCCGTCCCGTCCCGACCGCTGGCGTCCCCCTGGATGTGCCGCTTCTTGTTCGGACCGAGTCGCCGCTGGGAACCGGATCAGCATAGAGCCGCGGGACCCGCCCGCGTCGCCCTGGACCGCTCGGAGGTAGGAGCCACTGTGGCCGTCTGGCAGGTCGGGGTCGCGGGCAGAGGTTGGGGGGGTCCCGCGGACGGCGC